CATAGGTTACGTTAAGTGTCATAGATGGAGTAAAGAGAATATAGATGTGGTATTATTAACTTAATCAAGGTGCTTTAAAACAATTATATAACTCAAAACGCATATTACGAATGTTATGTATAAAAATAAATCTATATCATTGAGTACTGCGGGTATTCGGTTCCGCCAATTGTACTCTTAATCTAAAAACTGAATATAATTAAACCGTAAAATAATGTTTAAAAATAATTTTGTGTGCTATTAATTTAGTAAAATTTTGTTTCTTTTGAAATTTTCAAAACCGCACTATAGTAATGTTCAATTAATCTGAAAACCGCATTTTGCGATGTATTGCTGTAGTACATGTAGAAAGAATCTAGAATTGTTTTAATATATCAGAGAATCTCGTGGTCGGTTGGTAATTTAGAGTAAAATCTCTTAAAAAATACAAATTCCACTACTATCGATTCATGTATCCATGATAAATCGTGATTTAGTATTATATGCATTATTTAATATATATATATATAGTTATCATATATAAAATGTATATTTTGCGATGAATAAAAATGTAAAATTCGACAAATGTAACTCCTTTCTGATGGTGTAATGCGTCCTGAAGTTAATACTTTACTCAACACATTCCCCTCTTATCTCTCATATGGAATTAGAGGGATGTTGATCCTACTTATAGGTGCTACCCTTTTCACTGGGAAATGTTTTATAATATAATGGAAAGGGAATTCTGGGCACGTGAAAGAGACATTCAGAGAGCAAAGCTTTCTTGCGTGAGAATTGTGAAATTACGAACCCTACGTAACATACGTTTAGTATCTGGGTGCGTCGCAAATGGGAATGCAAGAGTGTGCACTCATACAAAAACTAATTCATTAATCATCTCTACAATAATAACTGGCAGCAGGATTACCCCGAAAAATTCCCAGGAAACATAATCCACTTTGTTACAGCCAACCGAGAAAGAGAGAGAAAAAAAAATACGTGTGTAATTTACGACACTTCCTTCCGATATATTAATCTTTTACTATATCCGCAATCGCATCAAAAATCAGTTATATAGTGAATTATACTTACAGTTTTTGGTTTCGCAAATACATGAACCATCAACTAAATAGCAATTTTATAACATTAATCAAATCAATTTCAATGATTCAGTGCCTTGCATAGTGCGTATAATTACGTTAATATCCCACAATGTTTGAAACCGGACTAATCGAGGACTACAAAAAGAGACTTGACATAAATAATTTTGTGTACAAATTGTTTAGAATTTATTATTTTGATCATAGACGCATAGTTTAGCTTCGATCATTCCAAATTCACTATAATCAGATTTGAAAATATAAAATCTCATATAAGAACAAAAATATAAAAATTAGTGTACAAAAGGTAGGAAAGGCCATTATTTTTTTATTTGTACACAAACTTATGTTTATATTTAAATCAGATTATGTGCTTTATAAAGTCAAGTATCTTAATTGCGGTATATTTTTATGCAATACTATACATATTTCAATTTAGTCTGTGATTTTCGCTGAATCGATTATTCGGACTATACGAGGTATTACAGTAATAAATTGGTATGGTTGTAATTCTCAGGTACGGTTTTGTATAAATAATTGGGTGTTTACAATTCACATGCGATTTTTGTTTATACATTTATCATATTAAATGTAAATTTGATTTAGAGTACAAAACGCTAATTAGATAAATCGTTTAATTTGATTCATTAGGAGTTTAGAGAGAATAGCATAAATGGCTTTAATAGTTAAACTCGACCCAATTTCATTTCGCATTAGCACTGTTTGTTCCACGATAGCTATATATGAGTATTTACTGTTTTTGAGAGAAACCGCTACCTTAAGATTCCATTAGATGAAACTGGTAGCTAGAAATGTAAGTGTTTTTCTATTTATTATTTGCACGTACTCGGATAAATAGAATATCAACTCAACTATATGCATTTAAATCCACAATTTACGCTTATATTTGAAGAAGAAATAAAAATAATCGTGATTCAAGCTGAATAATGATCTGTAACAACTGCATAAAGGGAATATCAAAATGCTCATGGCATCAGAAACTTATTATAAATAATGAGCGATAACATTTTATATTTTCCCATTCTTTATTCAATGAATACAGAAGTAGGTTTTACTGATTTTATAATACCTTATGTTTTTATTCTAAATTTCTATATATTTACTTATTTCCATATATTTAAAGGCCCTAATTTGGGCCAAAGGGCATAAGTGTTTCTATACAGATTTCAATATGGTTTCTATTAATTATTTAAACGTATTGCTATAATTTTCAAACAAAAATTTACAACAGTGATTCAAATTAAATAATGGTTATTCCTTGCGTGAAAGACCGACCTAATTTCATTTAACAATTTACTAATTATTTGTTGATATTTTATAACAATTAATTGTTTGATTTTATTAGGATTTTCAGATTATCGATTAAAATTATATACATTTAAAAAATCTATAATACAAGTTTATATTTTAAATAAAATAGATTCAGAATATAGAAGTAAATAATGATCTGCGTAAAGAGAATTTCCAAATGCATTACATCAAAGAATTATAGCCACAATAATAGCAGCTTTGAAATTTGTATCTTTTGATGCATGTTGTATAATATTATATAATACACATTGGAATGGTGAAAAAAGTCGTTGCGACCGTTTGATCTGCGTGATGTGTAACATCATTCAAAGATATTTAGATTGCGTTTATTTCGAACTGTGGAATGGTGAGAAGCCCATCGGGGTTGTTTTCATGTTTCCCTCATACATAATTAAAATGCTGTCATCGTGTGTAGGTATTGTAATTGTAATGGGAATGTTATGCGTGGGCGTGTTTGTGTGTGTATGTATGTATGGAACTTTGGAAATATTAAGTGATTTCAAACTTGACACGGCACTGAAACGCTGAAATAGCTGAAGCGCACTCGAACACGACGCCTGAATACAGTAGCTCACTGTGAAACCGTGCATCAAATTACCAGGACCGCAAACTGGATTTGAGCCGATGCCCGTTTTAAATGCAAATGTTGTCATTAATGGCGTTTAACTGTACGTGTGCCGCTCCGATCCGACGAACACCATCGAAAGTTTATTAAAAACACGTTCGATAAATAAAAGTTATTCGGTATTAATTAAATTTTGTGTTGGATTACAGCCGAATTGCGAGATGATTTATATGAAACCGAATAGGGCACAGATGTTCCCTTCTTTCTAGATATATATATATATATATAGCTAGACTCTCTTCCACCTTATACACAGCAACTAATTACTGCCAAAATGAGATTTATTATATAACGCACGTGAGTCTGGATGTTCAACAGTATAGAAACAATATTTCGCACGTCCATCACTGTACGCCAAAACTTTGAAACGTAGCTTTTGATGAATTCGATACTTCTCATTCTCGCTGTACAAAGATTTTCCCAGATGCTAACGAAGTTACTGTTATTAATACTCTTACATATATTATTAGTTTATGTTTATTCAGCCACCAAATCTTATTCAAAATGTATTTATATTATATAACTTTACATCTGATAACCAAATCCATAATTTTAAAATATGGCCAGAAGTTGTTAATAAACATCCAAACAATTATAGTTTTGGTTCTACTATAGGTTTAGTATTTATCGAATGTTAGAAATTTTGAAATGCAGTCAATTTTTCAGATTTTGGAAGATTTAGAAACAAAGAATATGAAAACGACATTAGAAAAGTTACTAGTGAGAAAATGTTAACAACCGAATATTTAATAATGAAATTGCTGAAAATGATCTTGTATTAGGAAGATGCGTTATTGTTCAGCGATTAGTATCAAGTGCAAATACTCCTTATAAATTAATTGAAAGAGAGCAAAAAGGACAAACAATCACCTTTAAACTAATAACTGAAATTTCTGGATACTAAAGAATTGTGTTGTTTAAGAAATCGACAATTAATAAATCAGTATAAAAATAAACTATGATCTGCAATTAACTCTACTTATTATATAGTTTTAAAAATAATAGTATTATTTATAAAGTGTTTATTACTTATGTTTTTAAATTGTTATTGTTATGTTATTTTTTCCATTCATTATTTATGTTAACGTAAATATATTATGAAACAAATTTACATGAGTAATAATTCTAGATGTAATTATTTTTTTTCTAAATATAACACCGATAATTGCTGCAATTTGTGTTGCAAGTTGTTAGAATAATAACGTTTATTGAAATAGCCAGACAAAGCAAAATATCAACATACTATTAAATCATTACAAAAGTCTACAGAAATAAATTAGTTAAGAAAATACATATATCATGTTTCGTCTTCTGTTTTCTTAATAGTAGAAATATTCATAATTTCTTATTTTAAAGTTTATTTGAATATCGTCCGTTGTTGACTAATTACTGCAGTGGTGATATGTAACCATATGATCAATGATTCCTCTAATTTTGATCCATCTTTATCACTGTGCATTAGACTGGTGTTATCCGGAAACATATACACCTCATCCATGATACAAATATAAATATATCATGCATCTCATCCACAATTTTAAACTTGTCTTTGTCGTTCTTGCACACTATATCTGTTCATATTTAATTGTTCAATTTTTAATTTTCTGTTTTCGATAAATCCATATCATCAATAACGTACAAAAAATGTAATTTTGCGATTAGAATTTATATGAATATGTGATATCAAACAAATAAAAACATTATTAAACCATGTTAGGTTGAATCCACGAAGCAAATGAAACACCGTTGTATATTTTATCGAAACATGTTTTCCTCTTGGGAATTCTAACAAACCAACTTGATTCCCCGGTGCCTTCTTCCACTCGTACACACATACTAATCGTGTTTAGAAATTTCAGAGATACAGTCAACATTTACCGACGTCTCCCTTGAAGTTAATGGCATGGAACTGCAAATGTTCCGTGATAATAATATTTTGTATAATGTTATGACAACATGCAAAATGGCATATTTAGGAAATTGTACCATCATCAGACTACATAATTTGATTTCGGATCAATACGGGCAGATGCCGATCACATTTTTATTGCGAAAATCTCCACAATACAATTTCCAAAATGACGTCTAATCTGATTACGTTAATTGCAAGATAGAGCTGCAACAGCAATTAACTATATCCTCGGTGCAATAGCATACAGAATGAATCAGTCTTAATTAATTACTTTTATATTTCTTTTCATAACTGAAAATCTCTTACTATAAAAATCTAAATATTAATTGGAATTATTTCGCATAGTGCGGCTTCGATCAGTCCGGTTTTGCAGATTATTTTTATATTTAACATTTGATTAGTTTTAAATATTGGCAACCCCGCACTATACGAGGTATTGATGTATTTAATTTTAGATTTGTAGAAGCTAAAATTTATTTCATTTGGAGTACATTTCCACATATATATTACCTAATTTGTAACTACATAAATTTAGTTCGTGCAAAACTCTTACTTATGAGAAAAGCAATTCCATCTTCTCAGCGAGAATCGTATTATTACATTTCTTGTGTAACGCAAAACCTTACAAATTCAAACTAAGTTTTAATTAATAAATAGTTATTATTGTATAATTTAGCAACTTATTAAATTTTCAATAATTAACTTTACAACAAATAAGTAAAATTTTATTATTACCTTACATTTTTTATTTAAAAGTGATTCTAAAATCAAATACTTTTAATGTGACAATTCTTTATAACAAATTGTTCTAAATATTTTCTTTAAAATACTTATATTAATGGAAGTTATTTTAACTCTTGTTTATTGATAACACAATTGGAAATGCATAGAAAAATATGCGATCAAAATAATGTATTTAAGCAAAGAAGAAAAAAAACGAGAAGTCTCTTACCTCACTAAAGTTTCTCCGTGTTTGTCTGCTCCTGAAAAGTTTTTCCAACACAGTTTGTGTTCCTGCAGCCTTCAGTTCTTAAGAAGTTTTTAATAGTTTTTTACGCTGCTTTTGTGTCCCCATAGATTGGAAATATTTAAATATAAATACGCTCGATATCGGACTTGAATCCTCCTCTTTCCTCCATCAATTTACATAAATTATTTAATACAGCATCTTCACTGCAATATCCAAAGATGAAGTCACAGTTGATAAAATAAGGACATTTATTTGCATTCTGTCAAAAGCGTTTCCAGAAAGCGATTGTCCTGAAAGTATAACGAAGTAGATTAATTCAATTGTTATTTAAAAAAAGGAAAGTTTTCAATTAAAAGTTACTTATATTGAATTTGAAATAAAGGACATATTATATAATTCACTATTAAATTTATTATAATATGAATAATGTGTTCAATTCTAATCGTGTTTATGTAATTAATTGAATCCGGTGCGAAATGTTTTATGCTTAAATTCAGGATTCGGAAACCATAAATCTAAGAAATGATTTGCGGTTTATTTGAAGTTTGCGTTAAATGTATTGATTCGCTTAGTTGAATGCAAAACGAGGCCCTGTTTTTCGTGATCGAGGAGCGCGAAATATGGGAAATTGGAAACTTTGAATTATTATGTACGAATATAGTTTCTGCTCCTAATGCTGTATGCATTGTTTTGCAGGTGGAACTTGCGAAGCAAACGGAAGAGGGTGATATGAGCAACTATCAACCCAACGGAGAGTTCGATCTGCTGAACTTCTACCCAGAAAAACACGTCGAGTTCTATTCGTGCTGCCTCGAACCCTATCCAGACATAACGTATACTATAAAATTAAGGAGAAGACCCATGTTCTACGTGTTCAACCTGATCCTACCATGCGTCCTTATCAATTGTATAGGTAAGAATATATATATATTGTATGTAGGAAATGCAATTAGCAACTTGCGTAATACTCTTTGCATTTGTTTGATTCGTTTCCTTGAGCCACACTTGTAATTGCGTTTGGGGGAAAGTTCCAGTGTTTTTTAAAACTAGGATTAACTTCTTCGTTTCGTGTTGTTTTAACTTTTGCAGCGCTCCTCGTTTTCTACGTCCCTTCCGAATCCGGGGAAAAAGTGACTCTCGGCATAAGTGCCCTGCTTTCTATGACCGTCTTCTTAATGACTATAAGGGAGACCCTGCCGCCAACGGAAAAAACACCCCTCATAAGTGAGTTTACCTAACTGCTTTTATATTGCCTCATTCGCACTCAACAATACAGTTTCAATTCGATAATTATCCTCGGCAACAGATTTTCAGTTTTTCTGTAAAATACTGGAAACAATTGATTATTCGAACAATGAATAATAAGAAGCCTGTGTTTGGTTTATTGAACTGTATATTCAATGATAATTAATTAATAATGGAAGATTGATTGCGCTTTTGTGCTCTTTGTATGGACTATACAAAATGTATTCTTTTGTTTCAATTCTTCGTTTGTTAAGTAAAAACTGGATAATTAATTTAAATTTGAAAGACAAGTGAAAAGTATAAAATCATATTCATTTGATAACTACACAAATTTCTTTAGAAGTGTAGTAGTTATAAACTACTATTTTAAATACCAATTTTCTATATATATTTTATAATTATTGAACAGTAAAAAATTTTGGTCATTACATAGAAGTAATTTTGTAATTAATTGTTCTAATTTTGTGCTCTGGAAATCCTTACATTATTTGGCTTATCTCGATCCCCGTACATCAGTTACACAATCTCCAAAACGCTCATCTTCTGTCAAATCTAAATCGCTGTTACTGCTCTAATATGTAATAACCGAGTTGCGTGCCATCATTGTACATTACACAATACCATCCATCTGCGTCTTGAGATTTACAATAAATGTATACTAGATGTGGAATAGTTTAAAAGCATTTGTACAACTAATTTGTATTTGTATTTATCATATAAATATTATTCAAATAAATTACTTTAGATTTTATTGTGTCAAAAAAAAACTATTGCACGTTTATTGTCTTTGCATACAATATGTTTATGATGATTGATAGATTTACTTGATGTAAGAGTATATTTTTAAATCGTCGATATATCACGAACTGTTGTGTTTCGGATTTTCTTTTTTTCGTCCCCTATTGTTTTCGATAAGAAAATGATTGGCAGTTTTAGAAATAGCTATGAGGGCTTGTGCCCCCTTAATGGTGCACCCCATGCGGACACTTGATCCGCCATTTCCAAGCTGGTTTACTTCGACGATCGATATTGTCCTTCAGGCAGTTTCGATAACATCATTCTTTGTATCGTTCGAAGAAGATACATATTGAAAGTAAGATCAAAGAGATTCAAATAATTCATTTCAAATTTGATTCACGAGTTATAAACTAAACTATAGTTTAAAACTCTGTAACAATGTATCAAAAAGAAATGCATCTATTTGTATTCAATTTTTCCGTACAAAAATCGATTCTTAAGAAATTTTTCACATTTTTTCAAATACCAATTAGAATATTGTTAGTTTTCAACACAATTTGTATGTGTATCAATCAATGAATTAATATCAATCAATTAGTATGGAATGAAAATTGGGTTCTATTAAATATAATCTCGTAGTTTGTTTCGTTGGAATTCTTGCGTATTATTTCTTGCATAACTGAAAATTATTTCCATATAAAATACGTTATTGAATTCAATTACTCAGAAATGGTTATTTTATAGTGTATACTTCTAGAAGTGGTGCGATGCAATAACAAATTAAAAATGTTACCTTGAAGGTGAAATATATCGAAATGCAGCGAGATTTAGCTGCCAACGTCGAGCAACAGTTTAAATGGTTACTGTACTCTTAATTAGTGATACGACTTTGACCGATTTTCGCGAAACATACGTTCCATCGATTTTCCATTCATCACTCGTGGAAATCTTAAGTAAAAGTTGTACGCTCACTTACAAATAATACGTTCAATACAGAGCGCTTTATGAATTCAGATTGTAAGATTAATTATTAACGAAACACTCTCATAAACAATCTAAACAAAGGATTTTTTTGTAGGATTATGTTCATTTTGGATTCAAGAGCATGAATTATTATAATCTGAAATAATGAATTTTTCATGAAAGCCTTTTACGTGTATAATAAACTTCATGAATGCATTCTATATTCCAATCACTTAACAAGAGAAACCTTCATCCCATTCTCACACCTTCACTAATATTTTATGAGAGCTTAACAACAATACACGGAAAGTTTGGAAAATTGGATGCGAATTTTATAAACAGTTATTGGGAAGGTGTGGTGGTGGGTTTGAACCTTTTTGGTATAGGGTCTTATCTGTGCAGCGCTAATAAAGATTGTGTGGCGAATTACGGTTCTCGAATGCCTCTGGACAACTTAATCGACTCAGATATTGGGGTTCCCTTTTCCACATAAAGCCGCAACATGTAGGTACAAATTCTGATTGAATCGCAACAAACTGGAACGATCCTATCTCAGTAAATGGCGCTCTTCTGTTCTGCATCAATTTACATACATCTAATGGATGGATTTCAATAGTAGCTTGGAGAAAAGAAAGTTACAATACAGAGCCGTTCCCTGCTCCGGAGGTATTAAACTTTTTTAGGCAGAAACTTTTGCATCTTTTGCATCTTTTTATTCTACATTTTTTACATTTTCAGAATGGAATATACCTGTCTAGGAGTATAAACTTTATTTTAATATCATTTCAATAAATACACGTTATTCCCATCATGTTTATATTGTAGAAACATAAGAATGCTTTAGTTATAAAAATATTCTAACATAGCACAGAAACAAATATATCAATAAGTATACATGTTTATAAAAAAACTTAAATACATTTTATGAATTTAAGCTAATTTGTGGTCACGATCTTAGTTTGATACGTTTAATCTAATACATAATAAACTAATACTACTATTTATCTAATAGTTTAATTCTCATATTAATACATAATAAAGATATCATAATTATATTCATAAAAGTACGAAAATATGAATTCCAAAATCTTCTTTTATGTGCGGTTTCTTAATATGATAAATGAAACATAAATTATTTAGTTATCAAGATCAATTCCTTCGAGTAAAACTAGAACATTATTGTCCTAACATATTCCTAAATATTCCGAAACAAGATCATCTCAATAAATTGTTTAATAAATTGTTAAAGAACATACTTTTGTTTTTTGTTACTTTAATCAAGGATTTTGAAGATTCTACTAATCGTTCTTTAAATATTTGAGTCCTTTTAATACCGTATTTAAATACAAAGAACTAATTTGCAACTGTTGCATATGAAGAAGAAAATTTACCATAAAATCAACGTAATTCAGGTTTTATTTCTTTAGCGTTTAAGCTTAAATTCTTGAAACCATAAAAACTTTGTTTATTATCATAATTACATACTAATGCAACTCTTTATGTAACACCTTATTTTGGTTATCACATGAATCAATTTATATATTTTTTTTTATTTTTTCCAAATTTGTCTATTTCAAGTTGATAACATGATAACAAAAACTGGTTTATTTAAAAAAAATAGTAGATTTAGGTGCCTCGACCTGATAAATACACAATATGACAAATCATAAATTCTGCATGAGATAATTCTATCATATTAATCGTGGATTAATAATAATCCCAGTGGATGGAGAGTTCGCATGAATCGAGTTGAATGTAATTCGGATAGGGTCCAATGCTCATTGCTTTTTGAACGCATATTTTGCGCACAAAATATGTTACGCTCGGCAATTCTTTTAAATTTTTAACATCCAATCGATTCAGATTTGTAACCAGGTACAATGCCACATCGTATATTCCGTCTTCTTGACGTTTATTCCCTGATTTTCTATCCCATCGGAAACCATAAAATATTGGCACGACATGCACAATAAACAATTTGATCGTTCTCATTTTGCAGGTCTGTATTATGGAACGAGCATATGTCTTGTTACCTTTGCTTCGGGTCTATCTGTGGTCACACTCAACATCTATCATCGAGGAGTACGAGGAGCCGCTGTCCCCAACATCGTCCGTACAGTTGTCCTTGAGAGGATGTCCAAGCTCATCTTCATGCGCTTCGAGATGTCCCAAGGCATGCAGAACGCTCGAAGCACGAAAGTAAGTTCATTCACAAAGCAATTAATTAATTAAATTATCTATTTCCATAATTACATAGTACAGTCGAACCTCGCTTAACGAGCAAAATGATTGGCTTAACGAGCGACGTTTTGCATGACGAGTGACGATGAGAAGATTGCGCGCCTTCATTTTTATAACTTGTGTGTATTTTTTAATATGTTTCATACGAGTAAAAATCCGGAAATTTTGGAACGGATTAAACTCGTTAAGCTAGGTTCCATTGTACTTATATCATGTCAATAATTATATTAATTCGATTATTATTTTCATAAAAACATCCAATTGCAAAACATCCGAAACCAAAAACAATAATTCCGCTCAAATGGAATCATTTTCAGCGTTAATTAATTTGAGCCATTGCAACCGCAAAAACAAATTAAAATCAAAGTTGCCGCCGCCGCTTCAATTACCGAAATCCTTAACGAGTTTGTGCAGATCGTTTGGAAATATCGTTACGCTTGAACACTCTTCCAAAACTCAAACACAATTTCTTTTAAATTGTCATAATCATTGCTATGCGCTTGTAACTGTATGCTTAGTGATTTAATCCACAAAACATAAAGTAGATACAAAGCAAATATATACTTTCTGTTTGATATATACTTTGTGTTTGTAATTAAATGGAGAAAGAGTTTCGAGTTTCCTTGGATCAATACGAAACTCAAATATTTAATGTTCGAGTCTTTTGAAAAATTTCTAGAAAAATCAAATTAATTATCGCAGAGAAATCTGTTTTGAAATTATACACAATTTTTATAATATTGCAATATTCGAAAGTTAGAATGTTTCACTGTTGACGGTTTAATTTATTGAACTGAGTTAGTTATAAAAAAAAGTCAATTCGATCAATAACAATTAGTTAGTAACATTAATATTTAAAATATAAAAAAAATAAATTTTGAATGAAATATTTAAATCGAAAGTTTGTTTGAAAATTGTTAAGTAATGTTGAATATTTTTTCATATTGTTGCAATTAGTTTGAAGTTGGACTGGTTTATACTGGCTTAATTTAGTTCATTATAAGTTCAAATGAGCGTGAAAAATGTAATGAAATTATAATAGAAAACAAGGGCGCATTACTGAAATTATCAGATGGAAACGAATTCGAGATTTTGTGATAAGTTAGACAAATTGAATGGCGCACAGTGAAAAAAACGTAATTTGCATGGCATTATCACGAGCTTCTTTCAGGAAATAAATCCTCAGACCGGAAACCGACTGGATAGCCCATGGCCATGGCCTGATAAGTTTCCTCGAGAGGATGGATATTACATGCAGCAAAGGCAGAGATCCCCCCGATTCCTACCAAGACATCGAACGGAGAATTTAGGTAAATATTATTCGCGCAGGATGCGTTGATTTCTATTGAATCTAGTGTTGTTTTAATTCGCAGATGCATTCGAAAATCAAATAATAAGGATCTTGAATAAAGTGCACACGAGTATAGATCGCAACGAATTGAGACTTACGGAACAGGAGAGACGGGAACTCATTGAAATGGAATGGAAACAAACATCAATTATCCTCGACAGAATGCTTTTGTGCATCTTCTTTCTGATCACGATCATTTCAACCACGACTATTTTATGTAGAAGTCCTGTTGACATTGATATACCATAATAAAATAAGTAACTATTAAATAGAATCAATTAAACTCGAGTGGTTAACGATGCTCAAAATATCATATTTTATTTATGTTGTTTTCCAATTTATTAGTATTAAGTTTCTGCTTATAAAATAAGAATATTCGAAATCATGAACTTGAACAGGTATCAACTTCATCACTGCAAATCTGTGTGTTTCAATAACAATAGAATGTATATATTTATTTTATAAATGTGGGTCTTCATATAAATAAGGTTGTGATAAGTATGATTTTCTTTATCAATTAAATTAATGTTCAAACAAATTATTTACTACGAATAAACTTAATATGTGTATTTTCCTACCTTTATTCAATTCATTTAAACCATCCAATTTTTATTTGAAAAACCATTATTTTCAAAGAAAAATTATTACGAAAAAGTAAGGAACTCATGACATTGAAATAAAAATATATTTTGAATTTGTAATATCATAAAATATTTATTATCGAAAAGTTTTATTTTTTTAAATTTACATTCATTCTTCGAACATCTTATATAAAAAAAAATGAAAACATATTTAACATTTTATGAAAACATATTGCCATCATTGTTTAGGCTCTTTATATAAATAAAATATTTATTTAAACATTTACAAACTGTGTCAGCTTCTCAAAAAAAAAAGAACACAAACTTAAAACTCTAAGAAACAAAAAAAAGAAAGAGAAAAAAAAAGAAATATTTTTAAAAATGATATAATCTATATAGACTAATTTTATTTTCAACAAATAATACACTTATATCTATTATATAATATTTTTTCAAGTCAATAATTTACACTGTCCGTAATGCTTTGTCGCCATGTCGCATGGAAGGGAATTTTTAAAATTCGTACTCGCGTTGTTGGTAAATTTTGCAGTAGTAGCTTCTGTAGATTTGGTAATGGTAAGATCTCAACTTGAGGTGAATCAGACGATGGCGGAATCTCGGGTTGAGAAATTCCATGAAACGGTACCGGTTTCAACACTGGAATGCTATCTCCGGTGTTCAAAGTTTTATCCTTCGATTCCTTATCGGGTTGCTCGCACTGATCAACGAACAGTTCCGTAACTCTTAACAGTTCCAAAGTCACACCCCAGACGAAATGTTGCAATGTTTTTTGAAGCAAAAGAACACCGCCCAGTACCATGCGATTAGTAGTTGCCGACTGTGAGATGTATGTGGGTATAATTAATAATTTCTTCAAATTAACACAACCACCTAAGGCTTTATCGAATCCAGCCTTAATATCGAAGTTAACCAGTTCAAGTTGACTCAATGAATTCAAAGATTTAAGCGCATTCAACATTTCAAACGTATGACATTCGCCTTGTCCTTTTTCTAAACGAAGCTTCTCCAATTTTGTTAACTTCGTCAAAACTTGGGTACCGAAAGTCGATGGAAAATCGGAGCACTCACCGATTTCCAGAACTTCCAAATTCACTAGATTTTCCAACACCTCGATATTGGCTTTATTCAATTCTTTGATAGATGTAAGTGAAAGATATTTTAACCGAGTCAATTCACCCAACGCAGTTACACCTCCAGTTATCGCTAAACCCGCGGTTGATTTTAATCGCAAATCCGTCAAGTTCTTTAAATTATTGAAAGCACTAAAGCTCATACTTTCGCATTTAATTGTGACTGCATTGATAACTTCCAAGTTGGGATTTGTTACTGCCAAGGTTTCAATGGCTTCAGCCGAACACCTGCACAGTTCAATTTTCCTGAGAGTATCAACTTTTCTAAGAGCATTTGTAAATTCTGGCCACATTTCATCGCCTGCACCAGGTGGTAAAAGCATTTTTCGGAGATCTAAATGAGCTGTGTTGTGCTCTTTGAGTGCGTTTGCGAATCCATCGAAACTATGAATTTGCGAATTTTTCATGCGAACTGTTTTCCAGAGTAAAGGATGTCTCGCGACATCTCTCCACATTGTACATACGCAACCAGCACGCAACAAATCTTGGACTTTCAAATACTGGAATACATATAGCAAAGTCTTATAGCCGTACGCTAGATTTTGCAAATAAGTATCCATAAATTTGGCAGATTCCGCAACTTTACTTTCAGTTTCTGGTAAAGCCGGAGGTTGTCTTAACTTAGTAGCACTTCGCGTGGTTGTAGCATCTGATCGTCTGAAACAACGATGAATAAATAAGAAAAAAATATCGAAAAGCTAATGAAATACTAAATGGGAGTCATTGTCAAAATAAATTATAAAGAAATAATAACTTTTTTTATGCAACAAACAATGTATTGGAATACGTATTGGGCTTGGATAATTTTGGTGCTAAGGAATGTAAGGTTCGTAAAAAAATAAAAGCCTGCAAATATAAAAACGAAATTAGATAGTAAATAATGGAAATCAAAACTCACTCTTCATTTGGCGTTGGGAGTTGCTGCAGTTTGGCTTCTTCAATAGGTTCCTGGTGGTCTGGTGCAGCTGTTTGGGAAGGGATTGAAGGTTCCATAGTTTCCATAGATTTATTGGGTGATTTTGGTTCAGTTTTAACATTTTCTAATGGTGTTTTTGGAACAAGCGGTGCAACAGACAGAATATTATGTCTGGGAACTATGAGATATTTTTTGTTACCAACAAATTCAACTAATTGAGGCCTTGGAGGTTCTTGCGGTACATTTTCTTGATTATTATCATTATTGTCAAGTTGTATTGTTGAACTTGGTGGAAACCAAGTTGTCACAGAGCCTAATATACTTTTATTTTCTTGCACTGGAACAATGCCTGGTTTAGGAGTTAGTTTAGGCAGTTCTGGAAGAGGAATGTCTTTGAGTGGAACTTCATTAGGTTTAGGTATTCTTTGTAATTTAGGTAAAGCATTAGTTTGCACTGGTTTCAAAGTGTTTGCAGGGGTTAATGGAGGTAAGGGGGTCATAAGAGATGCTGCACCTACTTTTGGGTCTTGTTCCAGTTGACAATTCTGCAGAACACAAATGAGTTAAATTACTCTTGAGCGATTATTGAGCTTTTGTCTAACTATACCTTACACATGTACTCTTGCACACTAATATGCGAGGCAAGTCCCACGCATTCGTTGTGAAATAAACAAAGACATTTTCGACATTGCAATGTCGGTATAACACCCAAAAGTCCCTCGCATCTTATAGAACATGGTTCACACGGTTTGCTGCTGACATTTGCTGTCGTAAAGCTGCAATTTGGTATGGTGAGGACAGGATATTTGCATACATTTCTTTTATTATGGAATGGATAAACTTTAAAAGTAAACATAATTTGAAAAATAAAACAAATACTACAATCACCTTGCACAAGACTAATTCCAATACAATTGTTCATTCCAGTTAAACAAAAGATTTACTAAAAACTCACCTGTTGGATACTTTCTGCTTTTTTGGTGTCCAATTTGATGGATAAGTGCCCACTTCCATATCATCATTGGGTGCTGCTTCACTCTTTGGCTCAACTTTAACTTTCTTTTCCTTCGTTTTCACTATTGCCTTTGGCATCTTGACCTGAAATAATTTATTAAATTACAATCAACTTTAAAGTAGATTTTAAATATTAAGAAATTACCTTGAAGGATGTTTTAGATTTTACAGATTTCGCTGATGATGTAGCAACTACAGGTTTTGCTTTTGTTGTTGGTGTTGATGTGGCTGCTGGCTTAGATACAACTTTTACATGTTTCTTTGTTGCACCAGTTTTAATCTTAGCATCTCTTATAATTTCTTTTTCAGGATCATCAATACCCAAAGGTTCCTTGGTAAAGGTGAAATCGCCAATAGTTAAATCTTTGTGTTTTGGCAAGGTCTCTGCAACTTCTCTCATAGACCTCACTTTCTTGCCTGTTGGTGTATAATAATAAATATCACCCATGCGCCGCATAGAAGAATCATTTGTTGACCGATACACCAATTCGCGTTTCCATCCATATGAGAATGGTTTCAGATAATTTAGATTATCAACTGAAGTAGATTTACTTCGCCGGACTGTCTTTTTTATATCAATCAGTTCTGGCACATCTTCTTTCTCAATTTTCACTTCAGCAACTTGCCCATTCTCGGCTTTACCTTTTGGTGAATCAAATGTTACCTTGTTAAGACTTAAATCACTGTATCTCTTATTTGGTACCCTAGCCCTTTTTCCTTTTCCAAAAACTTGTTTCTCAGGTACAGAAATTTCCCTCAAATCTGAAGCAATATCATTCAGTGGGGAAGAAGATTCATCTGGAATAATAAGAAAATATTAGTTTGCTGGTTACTATGGCAATCAACAGCATTTTGTTTGATGGGATTAAACATATGATTTTAATGACTCTTAATTAGTAAAAATATATAACATATACCTTCTATTTTGTCGGTTGATGCATCTGTGTTAATGCTACCTTCATCATCTTTACTCTCCGGCTCCTTCTTAATGGCAGCTTCCTCAGATTCATCATCCGTCTTCATTTCAGCAGCCTTTCTCTTTCTGGTTCTAGGACCTGGTGATAGTTCCCTATTCATTTCTCGGATATCCGCTTCTATACTATCATAGTCTGTGCCAGTGCTAGTGCCACCATCTTTATTGCTCCCATTCACATTTGGCGCCATTTCTTCGTTGGCCACAACATCGCCCTCAGTACTATTGGTTTTGCTACCACTGCCCCCGCGGGGCGACTTTCCTTCCATCCTTGCTGTATTGGATTACCCAGTATTCGATGTAATTGTTAAAAGTAAATAAACACAGCTAAATGATCTTCAGTTGTACGCGTCATTTAACTGTTCACGAAAACCAAAGATTTATCTGGGCCTCCTCTTCAACGCTTAAAACACTAACCACTATCGAACTAACCGATAGAGGTTTTTAGTTCTTATAAGTCTAATTAAAATACTTATTTACTGATAAATAAAACTGGAATAAAACTATATGAAAACACATAACCGAGAACAACATGGATAGCAACGCTTTCACAGTACGTCAGTACGAACAGTGGCGTTCGTAGGTGGCGACACTGTAACGTCAAACAGCATCATTTCTATATCCAAAGTAGGGGTACATACAATTGTAAATTTAAAAAACCACTCTTCAAAATCCCATCATTTATCTATAGATCTACCTAAAATTAAATATACTTTAATTATATTCATCTCATAACAAATGTTGTTAACAAAAATTCTGCTGAATTAGATTGGATGCAACCAACTATACAATATATTCAATTACATCTAGAGAAGAAAGCACTTAATTATTTTAAATAACAAAACAACATAAATTATATATTATCTAAATCTAATATTCAAATATAAATTACATTTATTTAGTTTTAATGAAGTTTTATGTAATTGTCATTTTGGTTGCATATATTAACAAGCAAAAATTATTTATCCATCTTGGCTATTTATAGATTATTACCTAGGTAGACACTTATATTTGTTATAACATTCTATTTCCCATTATCTGACTTATTTGAATATACAATTTTGTTAAAGTAGTAATTATAGAACATTTAGCATCAAATATTAGACTTAGACATTAAACATAGTGACCTTGACTTAACTTTATATTTGATTAAACGTTTCAAAGTAATAAACAAATGTAAATGTTAGAATGATAAATATATTTTGAAACTTCATTAATTTTATATTAAATTTAATTTTTTGGGTATTTTCTTTGGAAATCTAGGGAACAAAATTTAAAAACTATTATGATTACATAAATAGTATTTAATTGTTATTTAATGACAATTTGTATAGTAATTAATTATTATTCAGAATTTGTGATTGCGCAAGTAAGCATGCGTGTTTTTTTAGTTAAATTAATATCAAGCGATTAAATCAACTAGAAGTTTATTGCAGAGTAATTTACTTAATGTCCAGAAGCTATATTTTCGTATAATTTATATATGATGGGTCAATTTCAAGACTTAAATCCTGTTTAGTCAATTATTTGATATTAATATACAAGAATAACAACTAACATAAGAGACTAAATCATATTGTACGATCTGTATTCTACTATTCTACTAGAGTAGTATTCAATTAAATCTAAAGATTTTTCAGGTAACTCATGAAAGTAGTATCGAATGTAGATTTAAGCATTCCGTAAGCTAAGCTAAATAATTAGTATATTTAAAAGAAGGTCAAATAATGGTATTTTGTTACATGTTTAGGTGCATTTTCTCAATGAAATAAACTGAGTATTTAAACCTAGATTAATGTATGCTTGTTTATTATATTTTTCTAGAAAACATGATTTGCTTTGAATATACGATGAATAAAAGATACTTATAACTACTGACTCATCAATGAGATAAGTTTGTAATAATTATCAACGATTTTTTCGTTATTATTAAAATTATGTTGATACAAACACAACATGAACCAAATGATACACCATGCACAAAATAAGCTGTTATGAGTTTGGAATAATTAAAAGTGTAATTTAGAAATTGGTTTAATTTGTAATTGCCCCACTGACACAGAAATAATATTTTTTTACAGGATTCAAATATGCAAACTTACGTAAATATTAGACAATTTCTACAAATAGGTCGATAGCCCTTTGGTTCAAAAATTGTTCAATTAATAAAAAATATTTTAATTTAAAAATGCATTTTTTTGTTATTATAAAATATACTAATTCAAATTGTTTATAACTTTAAAATCATTAGAAATAATGATAGTTTATATATGACATAAATAACGTTAAGACGTAATAGTTTTTCATATAATGGACAAAAAATGAATGGTAATTCCAGTGCGGATTTATGTATTGTCTTTATGGACTGCTGACTAGGGGTTCATTTAATGATTAATTTTGGTTAATTGGGGCCTAAAGCCCTTAAATAATGTCAGTCTAAGGACCATAAACAGTGTTACTCCAGGGGCTCCAAACAATATCAGTGTAGAGCTGTGGTTCCCAAACTTATTTGGCTTACCTTCTCCTTTCCGTGAGGTCAAAAAGTTTGGGGAACGCTGCTTTAGAGCATCCAAATACAGTTAGACTAGGTTCGTAATAACCTTAATCTAGAGCCCTCCAAGCAGTATTAACCAAGACCCCCCAATGGTTTTAGCTCAAGGCCCCCGAAATTAGCGGCCGCCTCTGGCTAAGCCATCAACAAACAATACCTAGAAGATGTGCAGTTCAAACAAAAGAGATTACGTTAAAAAAAGAATAGTCAAACTTTTGTCGTTTGTTACTTGTCACAACAATCTTATATATGTGCCGATAAAAGTATAGTTCAAAACATACATTAACTATAATAATTTAAAAAAATTAGCAAAATTTGCAAGTAGCAAACAATACTTGGAACAAGTGTAATCCAAACAAAATAATTTCCTTTATAATTAGAATCGTATTAAGAGTTATAATTAGTTGTAAAGTTAAATATGTTGCAAATTCTAAATCCAAATATAAATACTATAAAATATGTATTCAAACTTAAAATTATCTAGTTTCGAGAAATTAAATATTTTCCGTGTAATGGAATTTAGTTTTGACACATGTAATATGTAGTATTTTATTTGTATGTAAACTTATATAATAAACTCTTATATAATATAGTTTATTTTTTTCATCAACGTTATTTTCCCCCCATCATGGATAGTGAAGGAGATAGATTAGTTTAGATCATGATAATATAGAAATTAGTGGCAGTAGAAATTAGTTTATTTGTAGAAGAATTTTTTTTTGCAATTTTCTAAAAAGAACAATTAATGTTATGTTATGTGAATTAAAAATATAAAATAATTGTTGAAAAAAACAACCATTTTTTGATTTTTAATTGGTACGTATAATTTTATAAATTTTATTTATTTAGCACCAAATTACAAATATGGTTAATATATTGTTATAAAGACATATACTATTATTTGATATTAAAATTAATCTTTAAATATTGTACAAACAACGGATTTCCTCGAATTAAATGAATTACATTAATTATAACTACACAAATATTATATTAAACTGAAAGAAAACAATACATTTCTTAGAATATAATCAAAAACTAAATTAAATTAAACAATAAAAGTTTTATTTGATTTAGTTTTTTTTTTAATGTTTACTTTGTTCCAAATGCAAATGAAATAATCCATGGTGCATAAAATGTTAATTTTTTTATAACAAATTGTAAATATTTAAAATGAAGCTTTATAATTGTGCAATGTCAATACTTGAAAACAGATAAAATTACTGAAAAGATTCAATATGGAATTGCGCAGTTGTTTTTCATTTAAATTACGATAATATAATTTTCTTATATACTTGTAAAATATATAATTATAAAGAAATTAATTACTCTTTAAACTATTATTTCTATATAGAGTATTTCCAAGAATCTATTCGGACAAAACAAAACCAGGTATAAAATCATATTGAAAAAGGAGTAAAAAATTTTAAATCAAAACGAAGCAAATAGTTCTTGGTTTATTCCATGAATAATAACTTGAATTGAATATCACTGTTGACTAAAATAACTAGAATTTATAATTGAAAAATTACCAAATTTAATGCGAGTAATCTGTTTCACCAATACACTTGAAATTTAGTTTATTTTGAATTTTTCAAACAGTACTATAGTGAATCTGGACTGATACAAACCGCACTATAGAAGATATTGTTGTAATTTTTAATTATATCTTTATTTCGCAACTTCAGTTTATTTAATCGTATAAATAGAAATCAAAATAATAATAACTTGGACTTTCCGCGCAGTAAAATCATATAAATGAAAATATGTTTTCGGATTACCAAATTATTCGTTTTATAAAGACATGCATGATTGACACCAAAAAGAGATTAGAATTAAATTTCTGTTGGTCATGTGTGTATCAAAAGCAAGAAATAATCTTAGCTCAAGGTAGATTAAACCAAAATATAAGCTGCAATTTAAAAAAAATATGACGTAAACTTTGAGATTTCCGATAACTCATTTACTGTAAAATCCGGGTCTCAATTTAAAGTGATTCGAGTTAACAGTGGTCGAAACCAGGGTTTCCCAAACTTTTTCAGTTTGTGGCGGCCTTAATTTATCCGATTTTTTCCGCTGCGCACAATTTAAAAACCCCTAAGCTAAATAATTAAATTGTCTCTGTAAATCTGCCGTTCAGTAAATAATGTTACAAGTAACAAATTGCAGATTATCTTTTAAAATGATGAAAAATGTGTTTTTTTGTATACCAATACATAGATATTACGTTTTTAAAGCTAATAAAAGCGATGTTTGTATTAACCGTGTTTTTCAATTATCCGTGCTTTAACGTTTCAGAATTACCACGGATAATCGGCGTTGTTGTTTATAATATTTAGAATTTAAATAGAATATTTCCTTATCTATAAACAACATTAAATTCGCACTAAGTAACATTTCTTGGTATTATTATTAAATCAGAGCAGTTTAGTTCTAAACAACTAAACCAATGGTCACATCGTATTATTCAACTGACACAAATGAACAGTTACTATAATTTACATAAATTAATGGGTTAATTGGACTAATATTATATAATTAATACTACATTTAGAGACACATATATTGCCTTAGATTATATCGTTTCGAGGCATATTAAAGCTAGCAAGTAATCAAGGTTTCATATAAGAAATGCAATTATTACTATTGCACTCATAAAATTCAGTATTAGTTTATTTTTTCAGTTAAAACAACTAACAGCAAAAATATCATCATTAATATTATTCTGTAACATTAATTAAGATTAATGTAGTTGGATATTGATGTATAGGTTTTACATCAGTAGAAGTAGTAGTGTCAATATATTTAGATATTTAAGTTGAATACTTTAACTTCTTTTTTATTTTCAAAAGATTATTATTTTCAACTCATTGTGATTCGTAATTTGATATTTCTGATAATAATCATGTTGGAAACGAAACGATGATGTCCGGTCTACTGTAGTTAAATTATAGAATAGTCTTATTATTTGATACTTAGTTATTAATTAATTATAATTTTTTTAACATGAAATAAACTATATAATTAATAAAAAATATAAAGCAAAGAATTACACTTTAAAGTATAGATTAATAATATAGTCTACGTTATAATGTGTTTCTAAGAAATTATATATTTTGATAGAACAAAACCAGGTATAAACTGTGAATGAAAAAGAACTAAACATATTGAGAGAATAATAAGAATTATTGGTAGTATATTGAAATTCCTAGAAAACATTTTGAAGCATGTGTTTATTAGCATTTATTATTATTATAAAAAGCTTATATTAATAAAAACATTTTGACAATTTATGCATTTAATACCATTATATTGTTCTTTTATAAAGATAATTGTATACAGGTTTATTATTGTGTTTCTATTTAAATTCGTTATAATAATTTGAATATGTAGATGAATATTTTATGTTGTTATTGTTATTTTTTCCTTTTGATTATGATTTTTAATTGAAGATTTGTCTATGTTGGATTAGTAGTGTATACTTTCCTTAAAAAGCTTGAATATATATAGAAATTTATTGGTTCTTGCTTCTGTATAAATGGGTTATATTAATTAAGCTTAATTCATTTGGACGTTGATGTAGAGGTTTTGCAGTGGTAAGAGTAGGCATTCCATCTCAATTGCGATACTTATATTTATTTTAAGTTGAAGTTATCCTTTCTCTTAGATTTGTTAAAGTGTTGTCTATAATCATTTCGATAGTTCTGTGTGATTTTATCTTGTAAGTTTAGTGGTTGTAGGTTTGAAGGGTGTTTTGATTATTGTATTTGTTTGGGGTGGTTGTTAATTTAAAAAATTGAAGTGGAGATAGCGAATTGCGCTTAGAGTTGGCTACGTTGTACATGTAATATTTTGCGGTTCGAAACCATGCGAATATTATAGCATCTCCGAGGCGCACGTTGGGGGATAGTTGGGATAGCCAGTTCCAACCAATAGCCTTCGTTCGTGACATAATAACCAGCGAACGAGAGCCGAGCCCATTACATCAGTCTCTAAAAATAGACCTGTATATAACGTCGGAGCGAGTTGGAGTGGGTATGTTTGAGTTTGGCGCGGCGCTCGGGCAGCAGCAGGAGCAGCAGCAAAAGCAGCATCTGTTCACTCAGTCAGAGGCATTTATGCGATGAATATTATCCACCACGAGGATTACCCAATAACAATAAACAGCCAGTGTTTCATTCTCAATGAGTATGTGAACGAGTGCCCGGATAGAATAGGAAGACACAAGTCTTGTTGTGATATACATCGGTTGACAAACATTTCTATTTGTTGTGGTCCAAAACCCAGTTGCGGCAGGTGTCATAACGCGAGGTAAATGTTTATATTTACCCCCACAGTTTGCAGAATCATTCATTCAGCTTTTAATCATCTTATCACCTAACTTTCATTCAGCCTCTGCACGAGTTTATGATCACCTGCTTGCATCTACACCCTTATTATTTATCATCATTTTATTATTCACACACAACAAGCACAAAAACTCATCAAACTAACATCAGAAAATCCTGTACTCCCGACGGGAGGACGGACGGACTTTCAAATTTCCGCTCGCCGGATGAGCGCACTCTCCGCCAATTCAAATATATTTGCCGCTTTTAGCATATTTCAAAATGCAAGTACGAGCACGAATTAACGAATGCTTCCCAATTTATTAAATTGATGAAACTCCTCTCGTGGTAGGTGTTTAAACGCACTAAATTAACGTAGGCGATGTTTAAATTCGTAAAGGACAAAAAAAGAACAGAACTAACGTTAATCAAATTTTAAAGGCCAGGCCTTCTTCAATTTTGATGATTGACATTGATTCGAAAATAATTGCAGCAGCAAAATGCAAATGGCCAACGATCGCGACTTCCGTTTTCCACTCGACGGCTCCCAAATTTATTTGTTAACGCGACAAATAGAATCCTCGCTGATTCACGAATTTCACCCATTCTATTATAACACAACCTTCTTTCGATAACGATTTTCCCGAACGAGTGAAAAGACTTAATTCCCTTGAACTTTACATGTAGTTTATTATATTATTTATTTATTTTTTTTTTACTCTGAAAGCCCATTCTCGTATCGCCTTTGCGAATCTGCGAAACAAATCCTTGTGTTACCTAATCTACATTAATATTTCACGAAACGAATGGTTTTTCATTTCGGTTTTTACATCCTGTATGATTCAAATGTACATGTCTTTCTAGTCTGTGTCGATACTATTTTTTTTTTCTTAATCGGAAACGTGACCGCAGCAAAAATTTGTTTGATAATAATTATATTCAGTGCTGGGTATGATTCTTTTAAACAAAACAAAAAAAGAAACGACTAGACGTGTTTGATAAATTACCCAGATTTGTTTTTTTTTCTTTTTTTACTTAATTTTGCAATGAGCAAGAATTTTTCTGGTAAATTGCGAATTCAGATGTTGTGCAGTTTACGTGAGCAGTAAAATAATCTTACATTTAAGTGGAACAAAACAACACCTGCGGTATTGTTGAGAATATCATTTTTTTTACTGTTAAATAATGTTGTCAAATATTCTAGATGAATCGTTTTAATAAGAATGAATATATTTCTTTTAGTTGTGAATGAGGTTAATACGCATGGAAACAACGTCGATAAGAAGTATAGTCCAACTGGCATTTTTTTTATCTGTATTTTTGTTTTAATAGTTTATAGTTCCAATTAGTTAATAATAAGTAGATACACATTTTTTATCTTGAGTAATGTTCCCATAAACATTTTGTTTTTGTTTTGTCGGTTGATAACATTGGGCGCGTAATTAAAAGAAAATGAATGAATTTTGATCACTGGAGCATAATTTCCATTTATCTAGGCTCTTCTTGTAACACATTTGTGAAATCCGCGGTCGTTTCTTTTCACTACGAATTAACCCTTGCATTGCCAAGGATCACTTTGATATTCAAGCCAAAACCGCCTTGCACGCTAAATAATTCACTGCATTCCAAAAATAACTAAATTACACAAATTGTAACTTTTGTTTAATACCGTTTAACATATTTTGTTATTTGATTTTTGTGTTTTATTATATAAATTTAATGCTTGTAAAAAAATAATACTCTAAAGGAATTATATTAATTATTGCATGAAAAACTTAACTTTTTTAATTAGTTATTGAATCCGGAAATTTTATTTTTATTTTGTAGACATTTGTCTTATGTTTTTCCATAATTGATTTTATTTTTATGTCAATTTTGTTTTAATTAATAATAATATAATTTTAAAAATCTATTTTATAATTCTCTTCGTAATGACAATTATTGGATATGTCAATTGAAGCTAACAACATAATTTTATAATGACAATAGGAAACCCGTTCTAACATTTATTGAGCTTACGTTGAATTACTAAATTACTATGATTATTTATTTTATAAGTATATATTTTTATACTTAACATTATCCCTTTGTCAATATAGAAAAAAAATACATTAGTTATAAATAAATAAATAAATAATAATAAAGAAGTATTCATTCAAAACGTCCATTGTTATCCATTTTTTTTTAAATTTATTATTACTATACAGTGGAACCTCGCATAACGAGAATTTTGTATAACGAGTGACGACGAGAAGAGAAGCCTCGGATTGCGCGCCTGCTATAACATGTTTAAAATTTGTGTACACAAATTATGTGTATTTTTTGAATATGTTTCACTATACGAGTAAAAATCCGTAAAATTTGGAATGGATTAAATTAAACTCGTTAAGCGAGGTATTCGTTGTTTACCTTTTATAAGCTGTTTCATACAAACAATGCAAATTTTTAATTTAAACGTTTGTTTAATCGTTGTTTCATTGCGACAGAAGTAACGTTATTTGTGGGTATTGTCAAATGGATAATGTAATTGCAATAAATATATCGACTTTATCATTCTGGACACTGACAGTTTCGCCACTATCGATTTCCTAACCACTTTGTTATTTTGCTCGAAACACGCGAACGTTTAATACCGTTCATTGGTTACTTTGTGCTTAGAAGATATTTAATGTTAATTTCAATACATTTTTTGTATCAATCAAAAAAAAATACATATTATTATTAATTATATTGCTTCATGCGTCTATAATTTACCACTGTTGTAAATTTTACTATTCGTTATTACCGTTGATTAAAGCTGTAAAAGCGAATGTGTTTAATTAATATATTTAATTGGAATAATAATATTCGTAATTGGATTTATTAGGAAGTACAAATAAATACGATGAGTTTTTTTGACATATTGCTTTTTATATTTTTCTATATGTTGAAATTTGTTTAATTTTAGTACGCGAAACAATAATATATAGTCCAGGTAATTGGTTCCTCACTGTATGAAACCAGACTAATTGAACCGCATAGAAATAAACAAAACAAGAAAAGATCAAAATTTAGTTGGTTTTGAAATTTTCAAACCAAACTATAGTAAATCTTTACTCGGTGTTCATATTAGAACAATAATGTATGCTTTATTTGTTTCTTGAAATGTTGGCCGTATTTCTGGTATAAAAACTGCAACGATATATCAATAAAGAAATAATTGCACCTTTAACTTATTTTACTGTAAAATTAGTTGCGTTTAATCTATTTTGTAGGTAGTATTGAAAATATGAAACAATTGTGCTTATTACAAAAAGTTTTGGATTTAATTCAACTCTAAAACTGCAATATTTGTACACAGTTAAAAGAAAATATGAATCAACAATTGAATGTTAAATAACAAAAAGTAATATTGAGATAATGTACACCTATTCCAACTTTGTTTAAAATTTGAAAAGAATAACACAATTAAAAACAAAACTATGTAGATTTTCTATTTAGAATATTCATAACTACTTATGATTATGTGATTTGTGTGGAACATTACAAAGTTAATAAATAAGTTCAAACGGTCATTTTATGGTATAATATTTTGCAATGGAGTCAAAATTATGAAAAAAATAATTATGCATGACTAATAATATTATTCAAAACAGGAGGAGCAGTAGGAAGATAACGAACTTATCGCCCAATGAGATTTAAATGTTTTATCATTAGTCCAAATATGATTGGCTTCCGAAAACGTATACATTTTCCTGGCGAAACATGTGTATGGAAGAGATAGACAATTCTAGACTAATGTATTGAGAGAGATGAAAACATAAAAGGACGAATTAGCATCAAGAACGAATTAAAAATTACGAAGCACACATTTTATGTTTTTTTTTGTTATTGCTTCGTCCACCAGTGTGCCGTGAATAAAATTATGATTTCGTAAGGACAACTGCATGGGCATCATAACATTAGATGAAATAGTGTACACATTTGCATACGTGTACACGCCTAACGCTTTTAACTTTGCCGGCTATTACTAATGACATTTTCCGCCATATGTATTTAAATTTTATGTATGTGTATGTATATGTATATACGTACGCGCGTGTGTGTGTGTTCTGGAGTATGTGTGCATAAAATTTGAATATGAATCGTTCGCTCATTTCAGAACTTAATTATCCACGACCGAAGTGCTTATTATCTACATCTGACGGAATTCTTTCTACCCAGAGGCCTCTATTTGTATTACAATTAACACCTGGGGTACTTGCGTACAAAGCGAACAATCCTCGAAAAAAAAAGGACTCGCGTTGTCATCATTTTTCTACATCCTTTTGCACAAATTTATAAATGAAAGCTTTTTTTTTCATAACATTTTCTTTTTAAATTTTCCGTTCCCATGCAACGAATATTATATTCACTCTAATTAATAATAAACAATATACAGTTATAACCACCTCCAAGAAAATAACGCAAAACGTAGGCGTTTATTTATTTTTTCGTTCATTTCTATTGCAATTAAGTGTTATTATATCCGTTTCTTGATTCAAAATAAATCAACAAAACCATACCTAATTATATTATAAAAAAAATTATACATGTTATTATTATCATTAATATAATGATAACGTCAAGGTGAAGTGTGGTTCTTTGCGGATTGCCACAAATGGTTGATTATTTTGGAATATCTAAGGTTTTCAATAAATTTCTTTTTTGAACTTAATATAAATTCCATTTAGATTTTAAAAAAATCTTCATTTCTTATATTTCTTATTTTTCCATTTTACAACACATGGTTGTAATTAATAAGAAATAATGCGAATACTTTCAACACTTTAAAACAACTTTCTATAGAACAAATAGAAAAAATATGAATTTAGATAATCTTCATAATTTTTTTATTAAGAAGTCACTAATCTACAATATTTAATACAGCATATTTAAAAAAATAAACCTAATATTCGGGCAGAAAAAGCTATGGTCAATAGCCCTTTGAAGCAATTAACTTTT